AATACTAAAAATACCATGGATTGGCAGAAGAATGAACAAATCTGTCTTGCTGAAACGCAGCTGAAATGCTCCTTCAAAGCCAAAATGGACAGACTTCATCTCACCTACTTTAGTCATGTTCTTAGAAAGGACCATTTCCTGAAGAAAGATATCATGTGGTAAAGTGGAGGGTCAGTGAAGAAGGGGAAGACCTTCAGCCAGATGGACTGACACGTTGACTACAATGATGTGCTCAAGTATAACAAGGATTGTGAGGATGGCACATGATTGGGCAGTGTTTTGTTTTGTTGTGATAGGGTTGCTAGGAATCAGAGCAGATTCAATGGCACCTAAAACAACAGCAATATAGTTGTACAGCAATAAACAAAACACTGTGGTAGCATGGCTATTCTATATGTAGTTTGCAAGATGCCCATGTCTTAGATGCCATGAAATTGATTCTGACTTAGAGTTTGTCATTTCCATCAGATAATGTTTTATGAGATATTAATTTTAAATACTGTTTTTTAGCTTTATAGGTATTTTTGTTCTGTTGGAATAGAATGCATTTCTACTGAGGCTTTGAGAATTCCAGCCCAAAGCAATCAAAAAAAGATTGGTGAACATCGTTATTGAAGTCTCTTCAAATTATGTTGCTCAAGATTTTAAATCTGTCCCTTTCCTGTGCTCCTATTAATGTTAATATTAATTAGTCTGCCTTGGTTTTTTGTTAGACTTTCACCTTCTCAAGTTTGTCACAATCTAACTTAATTATTAATAATAACTGTTATATCTTAGTCATTGAACTCTAAGATATTCTTTGTTTAAATAACTTGAGTCCTAAAAGCCTATCAACAACAACAATCAAAAATAATGTTAAATACATAATAACAAGTCTGAAAAGAGAAAAGAGAAAATGCCTTATATAGTGGTTAAGTTAGCACCCTTATAATAGCAATTTTCTCTAATATCTATATTCTCAGAACGTAGTTAATTACCTGGTAAACCTCATATATGTCTATTGGATAAATAAGTGAAAGAATAAACAGATGACTAAATGAATGTTAATTTCATGGGAGAACAAATAAACTTGCTTCAAGATCCAGAGCAATTTTCCTCTATGTTTTGACTGTTTTAAAAAGTATCTATCATTCCTCTCATCTTTGTGACATTTCTCTCTACTTGTGCAAAGTGTGAAATGATATTTTATTTTTATTTTTACCTCATTTATTTATTTTTTATAATTTCACTATAAGATGGTTTTAATTTCGCATCACATGTTTCCTTTTCAAGCATGATATTTCTCTAGAATTTTTGGTATATTTGTCTTAACTGAAACTTGAGTTTTGGAAAATGAAAGAAATACTAACTGCAAATTAATAAGGTAATTTAGTTTCCATCATATTACATTCAAAGAGCTGATTTTCATATCCTCAGATAAAACAAACATGAGAACAATGTATCATTTTTTTTGAGGGGGAAAAAGAAAGGTAAATAATGATCACAATTTTTGTTTTAAGAAAATAGGGACATTTAAATCTCCATCTAAATTTCATCCATTCTCATAACCACAAACACTTACACATACCTACATATGCTTCATACCTTTTTGATGTGTCTACGAACAGTATCAACTGTACAAAACCACAGTAAACATCCTATTTCATTTTCCAAATTGCCTCTAGCATTTGCTAAAACAACAAGTTTATTATGAAAAAATAACCAATTTATAACCAAATTGAATAGTATTACAATTTTGATGCTAGGAAAGTCCTTCACATACTTCTGAATGGATCATCAGACCTTCAAAACCAGTGATGATTCTTACAAGGTTACTTCCATTTCATCACATTCCTATCTGTTATTTTCTACATGCTAATCTGAATGACAAACAATAATACAAAGAATAATGTGTTGTTATGTGCTGTCCAGTCGGACCTGACTCTAGCGACCCCTCCTTGGGTTTCCGAGGCAGTATCACTACTGAAGTAGATTGCCCCATCTTCCTTCTAAGGAGTGACAAAGAATAATAGATGCATAATAATTGAAAAGGAGACATTTCATAAAAAAGATTACAAAATAAGTTATTTACACCCTAGTTTGAGCATAGATTCTCCCATAAGTTTTCCTTAAAGTGCTTGATTCAACTCAAGATTTAAAATGAGCATGGAGAGCAAAGAAAATTAATGATAAAAGAGGAGATTATATATGAAAAGGTCTTAGTTTAGGAAATTAAGACAAGAAAATATGGACAAGGGAGACGGGAAACATATCAAACAATTATCAGACACGTTCTGATTGTGTGACCATTTGGAGTTAACTCTTACTGTTCCTTTTCTTGTCCTGAGTAAGTCTTTATATATGAATTAGTAGTGGAAAAGGCATAGTCATTTTAGAAAGACAGACATTGATATTAGCAGTATGACTTTTGAAGTTACTTAACTTTTCTAAACCATAGATTGATAATCTGAAAACCAATAACCCTCTAGTGAACATTAGATAAGGTAATGTATGAAAGTGCCTGGTACATACAAGTACAAATTGTAAATACTTAAGATATAGTGGTTAGTATTGAGATTTTGGTTCCTTAATGGCACTAAACTAATTGGTGCCCCATGACACCGTAAGATCATATACATTTTCTATTTTCTCCTCACAATATGGCTAAGAAAGCTTAATTTTTCAAAAGATAATGTACAATGCTTTTTTAAGGAGAGTGCAAAATATAAGATACATGAATTTTTAGTAATCCTAACTTAATTTATAAACCTTAAACAATAATGTGAAATGTAGACAAGAAATTTGTAATAATTTTTATTCAACTATAAGCTATATGAGAGCAAGGACCAAATATGTAATATTGTGCTCTGGGATATAATAAACAATAAATTAAAAAGTAAATAACATTAACGAATATTCAAATGTTAGAGCCAATAAATTTATAGGGCTATGAATACATTACACTCTGACCTGACTCTTACATCTTGTGCTTTGACTGGAAGCTGTACATGTGGGTTATTTTTATTGTCGATCCTCCATTGATGGTAATTAACCAACTAGTTGCCACCCAGTTGACTTCTGGTGAGCTGATGCATGCCAAAGTATGCTCCATAGAACTTTCAATAAATAATTTTCAAATATAGATTGTCAGGTCTTTTTTCCAAGGCATCTCTGGATAGACTCAAATCTCCAACTTTTTGGTTGGCAGACTAATATGTTAACTATTTGCACCATTCAGGGAGTGTAAAAGCTATCTTCCATTTGCATGACACGAACAGCCTAAACCCTATACATATTTACTTCCAAACCTAAATTAATATGAGAAGATGGACATTTGTAATTGTGGAATATTGCCAACAGTTTAGTGTTAGTTATTTATTTAACTAGCACAGATTAGAGTCATCCATATTTGTCTTGGCTTTCATTATTTGGTCTCTCTCCTGTCCCAAAATTGGCTCCATTTTATTTCTTTTCTCCATTACATATCAACTCCTACCATCTATTTTAGGGTGAAAAATCATACTAGAATCTCTATAGCAAGTTGGTCTACTTTTTGGGTTGTTGTTGCTGTTATGTGCTGTCAAGTGGGACCCGACTCATAGCAAACCCTCCTTGGGTTTCTGAGGTGGTATCACTAGGAAGTAGATTGCCCAACTTTCCTTCCAAGGAGTGGCTGGTGGGTTTGAACTGTCAGCCTTCTGGTTAGCAGTCAAGTGTCTTAGGCATTACTAAAATATCTTGATATAGAAAGAAATAAAACAGAACTGGTTTCAAATGTCTTTCCTGCACTTAGCAACTGTATGATTTGGGGCAAGTTACATAATATTTCTAAGCGACAGTATCATATTTATAAATGGTAAAAAAATATATCTTCCTCACAGTTATTTTGTGAAAAAAGAATTAGATATTATATTTTACTGAAAAATGTCTGTCCTGAAATAGACATTTAGCCAGTGAATTTCCTTCTCTTAGCTGTGTCTTAGGATCTACATTTTCCCTAAGCTTCCTGGGTATTGTTTTTCCATCTATGTGTTCTTATTCTGAATTATGTTAAAGGCTTTGCTCCCTTCTCTTTCTCTGATTTACTAAATCTTGATCAGTCTCTACTTTTTTTCTATTTTTAAATCTTTTCAGAAAATAGATTTCTTTCTCCTTGCCTTTTTTCCTTTTAACTTGATTTTATAGGTATTACAATTTTCTTTTCTTACTTTCATGCTGATTCATATCTTTGTTCCAAAGATCGTAGACAGTTTCCAGTTAAAACAACAACAACAACAAAAAAAAAAACCTTCTGATTCAAGTACATAGTAAAATTACATCTTTAACCTATTAATCTAAGATTAATTTATTTATTGAGCACCTGCTCTTATCCAGGCACAGTGCTGCTCCCTCTATCACAATAGTGAATAATGATTTATAGTGTAAATGAAGTTGGATGAAGCAACATTATTTTATTACTAACAAATAAGTGGCTTTCATGTATTCATAGCAATTCATACACTATATCTGCATTTCCATACATTCAACTTCAGCCATCTCCATGTGCCTCTGTGCCTCTGTGCCTCTGTAAGTAATTTCTCTTCGGGAAGAAAGACATGTTTCATAAGATCAACTACATGGATCTCTGATTATTTGCTACCATTTATGGAAATATATACTTTATCAGTTTTCTTACATGATCCTTTGAATAATCACAAAAATGATGAAAATTTAAAAATGTTTCTGTTTCTCCTAAATATTGTTGTTGTTGTTAGGTGCCATCTAGTCATTTCTGACTCCTAGCGACCCCAACAGAACAAAACACTGCCTGATCCCGTGCCAGCTCCATGATCCCTGCTATACTTGAGCCCATCATCGCAGCCACTGTGTCAATCCATCTCATTGAAGGTCTTCCCCTCTTTTGTCCCCTACTTATAGTGATATGTCTCCTACATATAGTGATAACATTTTACAAATATTACCAAAAAATCATGCTTGTGATTCTGTTTTTAATGACTGGAAACCTTTTGAGTTATACTCACTCAAACTGTAAAATTCGAGAATTTCTGTATTCATTCTTTAGATTACTTGATAGAAAGATTTCATCGATCTAAAAGAAGAGAAGGAGTAATAATATAAATTTTAAGATTTAAGCTTTTGTTCAAAAATGAACAGAAAGTAATTTTTGTGTTCTGCTTAGAATTTTATTAGGGGCAATTTGCTTTTCAATGGTGGTGAGGCTCATACATTTAAGCAGCCTGTCATGTTGAAGGAACTTGCAGTGGTTAAAGCACTCAGTTGTTAACCAAAAGTTCAATGGATCCAACTAACTAGTTGCTCTGTGGGAGAAAGATGAGGCAGGCAATCTGCTTCCTTAAAGATTGCAGCCTTGGAAACCCTATGGGCCAGTTCTACTTTGCCTATCATGTCACTGTGAGTTGGAATTGACTCCATGGCAGTGGGTTTGGTTTTGGTTGGTCATATCATACTTGTTTACTCAGTTTTTCACAGTGAAAAACTAGGGTGTTATTTATCCTTTAGCAAGAAGTTAGTGAATATATGTTATGAAATTTTAAGATAGCTGAAGAGAGAGAGTCCCCTACCATTTGCTGAACGTCAAATGCAAGAACTTTGAAATCCACTGAGAGTTTGTTTTGCAAATTAGGATTATAGGAAGCTCCAGATGTTATTTTAAATGTCCCTCTTGCTTCATGATTATTTCCAAATAAGGCATCTAGATGAATCAATAAGAAATAAAACAGTAGACATTTAAATTATGAACTGAAAGAGAGAATATGTACACATCAGTTAAGATAAAGGAAAGTTCTTATTTGATGTGCTGACCCCATGGTTCTGGCTATTTCTTTGACATACTGTTGTTTCAGAGTCAACTGATTTTTTAGCTGGTTGTCTCAAAAGATAAAATCAAAGAAAAACAAAATATGTTTTCCATCCTATTAATATCTTTTTTTTTTCATTGAAGTCCTGTTTACACTCTAGATTTCCAAGTGTCCTTGCTTTGTTTTTGAGAATGCCTGTTGAAAAATGCAGTAACTGATCAAATTCCACCAATTATGGGATCTGATTCAAGGAGACATGGTGTGAGATGGGCCATTAAAAGTTTTGTAGTTGCTTTCAGATACTTCTTGAACACCTAGCATCCAGGGATACTGCTGGTTTTCTGCATGTGGATTGCTGAGAGGATTCCAATGTGTGTGATACTTTGAAACATAGCTTTGAAGTTCCTTCTTTCAATCTAGTAATTATAAAATTGTCATGGATGACATTTTGCCATTAGATGGATGTTATTGGAGAACTTATTGAGAAACTGAAAAAATATATTACTTTAATATAAAAACCTGTTACATATCTTACAAATTGAATAAAAATAGGGGTAATAAAATGTGGCATTGAATTCTATATATTGCCTTTATTAGAATATTTTCTTTTATATATATTAATATTCAAGATGAAACACTTGAACTGAAACTCACATAAATGATGAAACCATAATTCTCATGATGATAAACAAAGAAGATATTATTTCATGTTTTCCTTGCTGGGAAGCTGAGACCTAGAATGACTGAGTGTTTCCTAAGCTAATAAAATTCACAGGTAACAGGTATGGAATTGGGACATAGGATTGTCTGATACCATACTTCTAGTCCAAAAGGAACATTAGAAACAATAATTCAAAATAAATAAATAAATAAATAAACAAACAAACAAATAAATAAATAAACAAACTATGTTGCATTAAATTCAAAAAGCTACCATCACATAACTGATGTGATACTATTTTTTATACTATTTTATTTGTGTTCCAAATGCTTTAAATTGCATTTAGATTTGCATATTCAAACACAAAAGATAAGAAAAAACTAAGGAATATGTGAGGAGACTAAGGAAATGTGACATTTAAATGCTATGTACAATGTAGATTGGATCATGAACAGGTAAAAGACATTAGTGGAAAACTTAGTGAAATTCGAATAAAGTCTGTAATTCATTTGACTGGTAGCATAATGTCAAGGCACTTGACTGCTAATCAGAAGGCTGGAGGTTCAAACCCACCAGCCACTCCTAGGAAGGAAGATTGGGCAATCTACTTCCGTAGAGTTACCACCTTGGAAACCCAAGGAGGGCTTGCTATGAGTCGGGTCCAACTTGACTGCACGTAACAACAACAACAACATAGTTGTACTATGGATCCTAAGAAGGACCAGTCCCTGAAAAAGTAGAGGGTCAGTGAAAAAGGAGAAGACAATCAACAAGATGAATTTACACAGTGGCTGTGATGATGCACTCAAGCATAGTAACGGTTGTCAGAATTGTGCGTGACTGGACATTGTTTTGTTCTGTTGTACATGTTGTTGTTGTTGTTATTTGCCATCGAGTTGGCCTCGACTCATAGGGATCCCTCCTTGGGTTTCCGAGGCAGTATCACTACAGAAGTAGGAATGCCCAACCTTCCTTCCGAGGAGTGGCTGGTGGGTTTGAACCGCCAGCCTTCTGGTTATCAGTCAAATGCCTTAGGCATTATGCTACCAGAGCTCCCCTCTGTTGTACATAGGGTTGCCATAAATAGTAACCTACTTGATGGCACCTAACAACAACGACAAAAACATGGTTATTAAAGGTATTACATTAGGGAAAGCTGGGTAAAAGGTAACTAAGAAGTCTATACAATTTTTGCAACTTTTCTGAATGTGTAAAATTATTTCCAAATAAAAACATAAATGCCATATGTCCTCTGGTGGTTTTTATTACAGATTTAATTTAAATTCCATTACATATTCTGTTGTTTACTATTAAATTATATAGATGTTTATTAATATATTTTTTTCTTTTGTACTATGTAAAATAATTTTTTTAACCTTTATTTAGTATCAAAGATTTT